GCAGAGGGTGCCACAAACATTCAGCCAAGTACTAATGAGCAAGTGTTGAGGAAACTACCTACACATGGTCCACTGTCGATGAACCTCAAAATAATTATGCTGAATGAAAGACAGATTTTTTTTAAAAAGTGCATAACTGTATACCTCCATTTATATAAGATTTTACAAACAGCAACTAATCCATAATGCCACAAAGCTATTGGAGGGTGACAGGAAGGGAGGGGCATGAGGGAAAGACCACGCTGGAATACAAACTTTTGGGAGTGATGGTTATGTTCACTATCTTGATTAAGGAGATGATTCACAGACTTTTACCTATGTCAAAACTTACTACATTGTATACTTTAAGTACATGTAGTTTATTTTGTCAGTTATACTCCAATAAAGCTCTTTTTTTAAGACTGCATTTAAAAATAATAAATGTTGAACATTCCTAATCCAAAATCTGAAATGCTTCAAAATATGAAATAAGGAAATGCTCATTGGAGTAATTTGGATTTCAGATGTTCATATTAGGGATGCTCAACTGGTAAGTCTTCTTCAAATATTCAAAAAAAATGTGAAATTTGAACAATTCTGGTCCCAAGCATGTTAGATAAGGGATACTCATCCTGTACAAATAAAACACAGTTGGCTGGGGGTGGTGGCTCACACCTGTAATCCCAGCACTTTGGGAGGCCGAGGTAGGTGGATCACCTGAGGTCTCGAGTTCAAGACCAGCCTGGCCAACATGGTGAAACCCTGTCTCTACTAAAAATACAAAAAAATTAGCCAGGCGTGGTAGCACGTGTCTGTAGTCCCAGCTACTCAGGAGGTTGAGGCCAGAGAATTGCTTGAACCCAGGAGGCAGAGGCTGCAGTGAATTGAGATCATGCCACTGTATTCCACCCTGGGTGACAGAGACTTCATTTCAAACAAAACAAAACAAAATACACAGAGTACCCTCTCTCTCAGGGTTGTCCTGAGAAAATGAATGGAAGGGAGCAAGCCCAGATAATCTCTTTGCAACTCTTTCCCAATTCAGACTATCTTTACCAAGATGATTGGTGTTCTAAGGTGTTTTTCAGTTTTATAGATATGTTGCTAGGATCTATGTGGTCAATTACTGCTCTTGATATAACTTTATGCAATTTTTTGTTTTAGGACTCATGAATCAAGCAAGCAAACATGAAAAATGGATTAAGGCTGATGCTCCAAAAGGGACTGTAAGTTTTAGAAGGCAAAGCTGGTTTCAGTCCCTAAAACTGCAGGACTAAGATTGATTTGAGGTTGTAGTTATGATTTTTTTAAAATGATTTGCATACCTGTGACTACAAAAATGTAAATACCACTGTTCATATACATGTTGAAAAGAACAAATTGAGAATGAATACTGGTGAACTGTTTTGGTAGGCTTTTTCAAAATTTGTAGTTGTCTATTGTATTCATTTTCTACTGATCTGTAACAAATTACCACAAATTTAGCAGCATAAAATAATATTAATTTACAGCTCACATTTCCATAAGCCAAGAGCCCAGTATGGCTAGGTTCTCTGCTCAGGGAATCACAAGTCTGGAATCAAGATTTTGGCCAGACTGAGTTCTCATCTGGAGTGTCTGGGAAGAAATCTACTTCCAAGTTCATTCAGATTACTGAGAAAATCCAGTTCCTTGTGATTGAATGACTGAGGTCTCCATTTTCTTGCTGGCTGTCAGCCAGCAATCACTCTAAGCCTCTAGAGGCCACCCACATGTCTTCTCATGTTGCCCTTCCATCTTTAAGCCTGCAGTGATGAACTGAGTTCTTCTCATGCTTTGAATATCTGACTTCTGCAACCAGCTGGAAGAATATATACTTTTAAAGGGCTCACTTGATTAGGTCAGGCCCACCCAAGATAACCTTTGTTTTGTCATATAATGTAACATTCATGGGAGTGATGGCCTATCACATTCAGTTTCCACTCCCACTCAAGGGAAGGAGATTATACAAAGGCATTTGTCACAGGGCAGTGCAATTAGCTTAAAATTTTTTATAATGTAGCTCTAACATGACATGTTTTCTACTTAATACCTCTTATGCCATCAATGTAAATTTAAACTGTGAATAAAAAACATATGTGAAGCATTTGCTACTGATTCTTAATATCTTTTGTGTAATTTAAGATATAGTTCATTAGGAGGAAAGAAACAGCTTTTTTATAGCCTGATACATGAAAATAGATTTTTATAATGGTATACTGTATAAAGATATTTTATGAATTCCATTTCTTTCAAACATCTCTATTCCTGGAACATTTAAATTATATAATACTGGCTGGGCACAGTGGCTCATGCCTATAATCCCAGCATTTTGGAAGACAAAGGCATGTAGATCATTGAGGTCAGGAGTTTGAGACCAGCTTGGCCAACATGGTGAAACTCCATCTCTACTAGAAATACAAAAAAAAAAAAAAAAAATTAGCAGGGCATGGTGGCTCATCCCTGTAATCCCAACTATTCAGGAGGCCAAGGCAGGAGAATCAATTGAACCTGGGAGGTGGAGGTTGCAGTGAGCCGAGATCACACCACTGCACTCCTGCCTGGGTGACAGAGTGAGACTCTGTCCAAAATAATTAATCAATTAATTAATTAAAATAAATAAATAAGTTATATAATACTGACTAGACCTATCTCTTAGTGATGTAGTTTGGATATCTGTCCCCCAAAATCTCATGCTGAAATGTAACCCCCAATGTTGGAGTGGGGCCTGGGCGGGGGTGATTTGATCATGCAGGCAGATTTCTCATTGTTACTACCACCTTCTTGGTTCTGTCCTCATGATAGTGAGTTCTTGCACGATCTGTTTAAAAGTGTGGGCATCTTCCCCATCTCTCTCTTGTTCCTGCTCTTGCCATGTGATGTTTCTGCTCCACTTTGCCTTCTGCCATGAGTAAAAGCTCCCTGAGGCCTCCCTAGAAGCCAAGCAGATCCCTGTGCAATGGTTGCACAGCCTGCAGAACCAATTAAACCTCGTGAGTCAATTAAACCTCTTTTCTTTATAAATCACCCAGTCTTAGATATTCCTTTATAACAAAACAAGAATGGCCTAAATCACTTGGATTATATTTTTTATGATGAAGACAAGTCTCTTTTTTTTTTTTTTTTTGAGACAGGATCTTGCTTTATCACTTAGGCTGGAGTGCAGTGGCACAATCTTGGCTCACTGCAACTTCTGCCTCCCAGGTTCAAGAGTCTTGTGCCTCAACCACCAGAATAGCTAGCATTAACAGGCACATGCCACCATGCCCAGCTAATTTTTGTATTTTTACTAGAGTTATCTCTAGTAAAAATGTCACCATGTTGGCCAGGCTAGTCTTGAAATTCCTGGCCTTAAATGCCTGCCTCAGCCTCCCAAAGTGCAACGATAACAGGTGTGAGCCAGTATGTTGGGCTAGGAGAAGTCCATTCGTAAACACTAATTTTTAACAAACCTTTCCAAATATCATGATTTATGATGATCTTTTCCTTTTTTTCAGATGAGGTCTTACTCTGTTGCCCAGGCTGGAGTGCAGTGGCATGATCATAGCTCACGGAAGCCTTGAGCTCCTGGTCTTAGGCATTCTCCTGTCTCAGCCTCCTGAGTAGCTGGGATTATAGACAGGTACCACCACACCTGCTCTAATTTTTTAATTTTTGTAGAGATGGGTCTTACTCTGTTCATCAGGTCTCAAACTCCTGGCCATAAGCTGTCCTTCTGCCTTGGCCTCCCAAAGTGCTGCAATTATAGACATGAACCACTGTGCCCAGCCTCTTTTTCATTAATATTCCATGTTTTTTAGAGTTCTGTTTTTAACTTCTTATTTATGAAACAAAAGTTGGCTTTATAGCCTATCTCAACATCTCCTTTTAGTTCACCCTTCATTAAATCAGAATGAATACAAATTTGAAAGATACTTAAATATTGGTATATTTGGTATGGTTGTGGTGTGTTATACTATTAAGTAGAGGAAACTGTGAGGCATTGAGGCAATTTTTATCATCTTTTTTCACCTTCATGCAATTATATAAACATTTTCATGACTAAAAATAAATTAGCCGGCCGGGTGTGGTGGCTCACACCTGTAATCCAAGCACATTGGAGGCCAAGGCAAGCTGATCACCTGAGGTTGGGAGTTCAAGACCAACCTGACCAACATGGTGAAACCCTGTCTTAAATAAATAAATAAATAAATAAATAAATAAATAAATTAGCCAACCACAGCCAGGAAAGTCATAAGCATAACAGCAGTCAACAATGGAATTATACATATTTGGATCACATTGTTAAGTCCCAGACAAAAAGAAAAAGCTGCCGTATTTTACGCTCCTGGACACAGACCTATGAATATGAAATGCTTAAGGGCTAAAGACCTAACTAATATCTTTGATATTTTGAGGACTTTGCACTGAGAACTTAAAAGATTTCTCTACCTGTAACCTTTACTTCTTGGTCTTCTTTCATAGCTCACTTTTTCTACTCCTTTTCTTCATGTACGTAGCTATAAAATTTGTCTCCCCAGGATGAATGAATGTGTCTTCTGTTCTTGTTTAAAAGAGGATGTTACTCAAAGAGCTTTGGAGCAAGCTCTGAATATAAAGCAACCTGCTAGGTTTCTGGAGAACACAACAGGGTGTGTTTCTTACTGTGGTTTCCCCAGTGCAGCTGTCATTCCTGTAGAAAGCAATTGCCTCTTTTATAAGTTCCTCCAGTTGTGTGCATAAGGCACTTAGGGATCAGATTTTTGAAATCAACTCTAATGCAGCCACCAGAAATTTCCAAATTTAGGTTAAAATTGTACTCTTATGTCATCTTATGTCTCTTGGCTATGGTCCTAAAACTTCCTACTGAAATGATTCTGTTACCAGTGTGTCCATTCCCAGGAAACTTTCCACAGCTAAGTAACACTACCTTATTTCAAAAACTACAAATCAACCTCAGTGGCGGATAATTACTAAACGCATTTAGCTAATACAAGGTAACCTCTAATAATACTTTGTACAGTCTTTTCAAAATAATAATGCTTTATCTTAAGTTTTTAATCCTTATTTGAAATTTGTGGGAAACAAAAAGATAATTAAATCCATGTGAGAGATAAGTAATTGAGGAAACAGAAAGGTTAAGACTGATCTGCTATTACTGACACAGCTTGTTTGTGGCAGTCAAAACAGAGTTGTGCTTTCTCCTGGACTGTGTCAACATCAGTGTTATATAATATCAACTAATAGTAAAAACCCACAGATTAAAGCTTAGTAAAATTTAATATGTAGATATGCAATTAATAACCCTTACTAGCATAAAATTGAGGGAGCATCTTTTTTGGCATAGCATAGTTTTAAGAATTCCTCCATGGTTCAAATTTGATTAAAGAGATATCTTTCTGAGACATTGCAGGGACATTCTTTCTATTCAGATATTCTTGTTTCTATTTAATTTGCCCCTGACTGCTAAGTCAAATGTTGAGATAAGTCCAGAGTTAATTGGTGGCATTTAGTTCTCTTTTGTTATTATCTGGAAACCACAGGAAAGCCCCATTCCTTTGAAAATATTAATGTATGTCTGTATTCTTTATAAAGCTTTATAAAACATCACAGGTCCTTCAAGTTATTGCCCTGGCCCAAACTCTTAGTTTGACATAATGGCCATCTCCATCTTTTTCCATTCTAAAGAAAAATTTCTTAATTTCTTGTCAAAAAGGTCTCATTTCTCAGGGTTGTTTCATATAACTATAACTTTAGGTTTTATAATCTCATCAAAACTATTGGTTTGATTAAATTTAGGCAGAAATTTTATGTAGTCAGTACTTGATTTGGCTTCTTTTAAAAATCATGATTATTTAGACAGAAGAACTACTGATGTATTTGGAAACATTTATAGTTGGAATAAGAATCAGAAGATGGTTTGTTGCTTGTTTACATTGTTATTGAGATTCAGCTAGTACACATACTTGCAACAAATGGAGAAAACTTGCCGAGTTCTACATTTTTTGTTCTTCCTGCTTGAGGCTGAAAGTCACGCTACTTCCTCTTCACTGCTGTATGTTGACTTTTCCACTGTTAATTCTAAGCTTCCTTTAGATGATGTTATGTTGTCAGGCTGTGTAAGAGGGTTTCCTGCCCTATCATAACCAAACCAATGTGGAGGGTCATTAGAGTTGTATTCCTGCTGCTGAACTTTAGATGACATTCTTTCAGCTGCATTCCTGTAATAACAGTGCTTAGCATTAGCTAGTTGCAGAAGTAATCCTTAGTGCAAAAATTTCAAACTCAACCAAATTTGGAGTTAAAGAATTCACTGTCACAATTTGAACTCACATCAGAGCTCTCTTGCCTTGCTGAGAGGATACGGGTAAGTGTACAAAAAAGCAGGGTCCCAAAGCCTCAGTAGCTCTGATTCAGCCAGTTCAGAAATTAACAGATATGGGGAATGGGTAAAGAAACTACACATGGCCATGGAAGAGGAACACTGAGGCCTCTATTTACAGTGCTTTGAGTAAGCCCCTTTTTTGGTATTTCTAGTTTCTCTGATGAGAGAGTAACCTAACCAGCCTACCTGTGAGGGCTGACCATGCACCAGGCCGGGACCTCTTAATCCAGAGTTCACAGATCCCTTGTGACTACATGGATGAACTTCAGGGAGGTCCATGAACTCCCTGAAAGTTCATGCACTTTTGTCTGTAATACACATTTTTTTGAGAAGGTTTGTGACTCAGTTGTCCATGACCAAAATGATTGAAAAATACTGTTATAGTCTTTCTTAGGAGGACATAAGGAAGTAAAGAAGGCATCAGAAAAAAAAAAAAGTATATCTAACTTAAAAACAAAGCCATTTTGAGGACAGCAGGAATAAATTCCTTGCCTAGAAGGTTAGTTTGAATCACAAGATTAGTACTAAAAAGGAGATAAGTAATTGACCGCTTCTGTAGAATTAGAAATGAGTAACTATGATGTAAACCCATGAAGGCACGACCTTCCCCACTCTTGCTGTATGTTACATTGAGTTATTAATTGCAAAAGTCTGGAAACAGTCATTGATATGGAGCTGGCTTTACCATACACTTGGAATTAAGTTTGTGCTGAATGGCAATATGAGTTCAGGTATGGCAAAGAAATGTGAAGAAAAATCCGACAACATAGAGATAACAGTTAAAAATGCTGTTTCAATTTAATCAAACTTTAGATGTATTAAAATAATTGTAACCAAAGTCAACAGGGAGATAATCAAAGCATTGCTAATTCTTCCTCTAAGCACACTGCTTTTTAACTTATATATTTGCTCTCACACAAAACTTCTACAAATGTAAAGAACAAATGGAGTAAAAGCAATTGTCATATCCTAATTTCTAGTTTAGAGCCACCAATCCTTATGGACGAAAACTTGGCAAACAAGTTTATTCTTTTCAGAGAAATATTTATTCTCAGTTTCAAAAATGGTAAGTTTATTGTCAAAGATAATGTTTTGCATTCTGTTAATTTTCTAAATCTTTTCTTAAGGTACTGTCCTGCATTTTAAACCTCTTCTATAATCTTTATATATTTTCCAAGTAGAACATTATTATGCGAAAGTAATGGGTTTATATCTTTGGCTTTTAACCTATTCTTCTCCTAATGATATTTCTCCCTTTTCAATTCTTTATAGGTGAGATTATCATATCTTTTTATGATGGGACAGAATTGAAATGAACTGCACGTTGACCGTCCTACAAGAGTAGCACAGTTAGAGGCAACAATGCATAGGGAAAAGAAATGCTTGTTTTAGGGAGTAAAAGATTTACAAATCCTAGTTCACCAAGTTATATCTTACCTTTAATGTCAGAAGAGCAACAGTTTTGAGAGTTCTAGATAACTGGTAAGAGGATAAGTACTCATAATGCTAAGCCTGGGAATGTGTAAATACTGAGTCCTATGGCTGCTCAGTCAGCTACAAGCCAGGGTACATTACGTGGTAATTGTAATATAAAACAATTATCAAGTAGTGGGGATTCGAGAAAATAACAAGAAAAAGAAAGGCGAGAACGTTGACTCCTTAATATAAGAAAAGAAAAATAGAGCGACTACTTATTTAATGCAGTATGATGGGACAGCATTGAAATGAGCTGCATGTTGAACCCCAGCCATGAGTGAAGTGTCCAGTGGTATATGTATTTCTTTAATGGACTCATTCCTTGCCTTGATCCCTGTCTCCCTTATCCTAGCTCTGCTCTCCAGTCCACCCATAGGCAGCTTTAGTGAAACCAAACATCAGTGTGTCCCCTGACTACTGGAATTGATGTTTACTGTCTAGAGAAGAGCAAAGGATCAGATCTCAGACCCCTGCTCCTTCCAGACTCAAGTTCTGGGAGGTTAAGTCTTCCTCCACCTGGTGTGTCTCTAGGGTCTGTTTTAGTCTTAAGTGCTTTCACAGCAAGGGTGGTCCTAGGGAAAAACAGAAAATATGAATCTCTCTTGGAGCAAATCTAGGATTATTTTTAGAAAGCTGTGAATACTAGTGTATACTATTCCCTATTCCACTTCTTCCCTGCCCTTCAGGAAATCCTTAGCCATGACTAGCTGTCTTTACCAACTTTGGCATCGTCACATGAACTATGGACCTTGCCAAGAGAAGAGATCGGCAAGTGACTGCCAGAAGGTTTTCCTGAGTTCTTTGTCACAGCATTCTATGGAGCCGTGTGTTTGCACACATGCATCTTTTTTTTTAAAAATTTATATTCAAGGTGTACATGTGCAGGTTTGTTATGTGAGTATATTACATAATGCTTGGGTTTTGGCTTCTATTGAACCCATCAGTCAAACAGTGAACATAATGCCCATTAGGTACATTTTTAACCCTTGCCATCCTCCCTGCCTCCTCATTTTTGGAGTTCCCAGTATTTACTGTTTCCATCTTTATGTCCAAGTGGTTAGCTCCTACTTAAAAGTGAGAACATGTGGTATTTGGTTTTCTGTTCCTGCATTAATTCACTTAGGATAGTGGCCTCCAGCTGCATCCATGTTGCTGCAAAGGACATGGTTTCATTTTTTATGGCTGTGTAGGATTCCATGGTGTGAATGTTTCACATTTTCTTTATCCAATCCACCCCTGACAGGCACTTAGGTTGATCCCAGGACTTTGCTATTGTGAATGGTGCTGCAATAAACATACAAGTGCAGCTGTCTTTTTGATAAAATTATTTCTTTTCCTTTGGGTAGATACCCAATAGTGGGATTACTGGGTCAAATGCTAATTCTATTTTTAGTTCTTTGAGAAATTTTTATACTGCTTTCCATTTTGGCTGACCAAGTTTACATTCCTGCCACAGTGTATAAGCATTCCCGTTTTTCCACGTCCTCACCAGCATCTGTTATTTTTTTACTTTTCAATAACAGCCATTCCCAGCTACTTAGGAGGCTGAGGCAGGGGAATCACTTGAACCTGGGAGGTGAAGGTTGCAGTGAGCTGAGATCATGCCATTGCACTCCAGCCTGACAGAGTGAGACTCCGTCTCAAAACAAAACAAAAAAAACCATTCTGATTGGTGTGAGATGATACTTCACTTGATTTTGATTTTGTATTTCTCTGATTAGCAACGTTGAGCATGTTTTCATGTTCGTTGGCCACTTGTATGTCTTCTTTTGAGAAGTGTCCGTTCATGTCTTTTGCCCACTTTTTAATGGGGTTGTTTGGTTTTGCTTATTGATTTTTTTAAGTTCCTTATAGATTCTGGATATTAGACCTTTGTCAGATGCAAATTTGCTGTGCAGAAGCTCTTACACATGTATTTTGAATGGTATCAAAAAAGTTAAAAATAATGAAATGAAGGCAGAAATAAAGGTGTTCTTTGAAACCAAAGAGAATGAAGACACAACATACCAGAATCTCTGGGACACATTTAAAGCAGTGTCTAGATGGAAATTCATAGCAATAAATGCCCAAATGAGGAGCAAGGAAGGTCTAAAATCGACACCCTATCATCAAAATTAAAAGAGTTAGAGGAGAAAGATAAAAAAAAAAAAACTCAAAACCTAGCAGAAGACAAGAAATAACTAAGATCAGAGCAGAACTGAAGGAGATAGAAACACAAAAAACCCTTCAAAAAAATCAATAAATCCAGGAGCTGGTTTTTTGGTAAGATCAACAAAATAGACAGCTAGCAAGACTAATAAGAAAGAAAAGAGTGAAGAATCAAATAGATGCAATAAAAAACAATAAGGGGACATCACCACCGATTCCACAGAAATACAAACTACCATCAGAGATTACTACAAATAACTCTATGCACACAAACCAATAAATCTGGAAGAAATGGATAAATTCCTGGATTTACTGGAGGGTTTAGTCTTGCACTCTCCCAAGACTAAACCAGGAAGAAGTTGAATCCCTGAATAGACCAATAAAAAGGTCTGAAGTTGAGGCAGCAATTAATAGCCTACCAACTATAAAAAGCCTAGGTCCAGATGGGTTTACAGCCAAATTCTACCAGACATACAAAGAGGACCTGGTACCATTCCTTCTGAAACTATTCCAAACAATACAAAAAGAAGGAATCCTCCCCAACTTATTTTATGAGACCGACATCATCCTAAAACCAAAACTGGGCAGAGACACAACTAAAAAAGAAAACTTCAGGCCAATATCTGTGATGAACATCAATGTAAAAGTCTTCACTAAAATACTGGCAAACAGAAAGCAACAGCACATCAAAAAGCTTATTCATCATGATCAAGTAGGCTTCATCCTGGGAATGCAAGGCTGGTTCAACATACCCAAGTCTATAAATGTAATCCATCACATAAACAGAACCAAAGACAAAAGCTACATGATTATCTCAATAGATGCAGAAAAGGCCTTTGACAAAATTCAACAGCCCTTTATGCTAAAAACCCTCAATAAACTAGGTATCGATGGTACGTATCATAAGATAATAAAAGCTATTTACGACAAACCCACAGCCAATATACTGAACGGGCAAAAACTAGAAGCATTCACTAAGAAATCTGGCACAAGACAAGGATGCCCTCTCTCATCACTCCTATTCAATATAGTATTGGAAGTCCTAGGGAGAGCAATCAGGTAAGAAAAAGAAATAAGGGATATTCAATTAGGAAAAGAGGAAGCCAAATTGTCTCTATTTGCAGATGACATGATTGTATATTTAGAAGACCCCACCATTTCAGCCCAAAATTCCCTGAAACTGATAAGCAATTTCACCAAAGTCTCATGATA